TACAGTCTGTGAAATACGTACGTGAAATATGTTCATGATTCTACTGACGATACAAAATAGTCTGAACATTATGAAATGTATATGTACATGTTGAATCATGGCATCAATGCTGTCCATCTCACCTCTCAACGAATGGTATACCGAAGTTGAAATTGTGAGGGTAGGACAGACTAACTTGGACAAACTGGTTAATATGTTGGAAATTATGGATGAGAAACACATTTATACTCAGTATATGAATCCTGTGTCATAAGCTGTGGAAATCTATAAATTTCTAACTGCCTAACACGTAAAGAATTTACGAAAGACGCAAGTGAAAGGGGACAAACGCATGGACAGCCTTTATGTTATCAAACCTAAGCGATGTTGTCCAGTTATCATGTTCATGATAAGGCTTCCATATACATGGCGTTCACTTTATGCTAACCACACAACGATAAAAGAGAAGATTTGAAGTTGGGGCGGATGTGATTGCACTCCGTGAAGTGGATGGTTTAATGGAGAAGCTTTCATAGTCTTTCTCCAGACATCTTGACTGCAGACTTCAATTTAAATGGTTAACCCCTGTCATTCATGCAAGAATAATGATATAATTGTATCTCTTGTCAGCGGGTGTTGTGATAAGTCATTTATGCAAAATTGCATTGAGGATTTTCGACTCAGAGTTCGACTTTATTTTCAGTCATGTAGCTAGTAGTAACTGAAAGTAACTTCGATGTGTAATGTATGTCTGCGTTGACACAGATGGCTGCATGTCAGATCTAACGTGACCGGAAATGACACAATATACGTGACAAAGATAAAAATAGGCGTGATTTTCTATAATAAATTTATAAGTCAATTTTCGAGAACACTTAAAGAAAAATATTGAGTATCAGTCGACTTATTGTGTAATAGTGTGTGATTTGATGAGGGTGATTGTTGAAATGTTTTCAGGTCAATGCGTGCATGTATCAGTTAGCCATGTTAACATCTCATTGAATGGAAAACTATTTAGAATTGTGAACAATTTTATAACGAGCTGAATAATTGTGCACAATTGAGAAATACCGCACACTGTCGTATGCTTCGAGAAGTTCATTGCTAGTGATGTGATTCACTCTTCCCAGAATCTCTTCTATTATGTGCATGGCATTACATACATCATCTATAAATAGGACTGTGCAGTCAAACATGAATGTATGACGCTACATACTACTGCTTTATTGAGATGAGTAGTTGTATACCAGGGATTTGGCTGGTTGAATGCCTGTCAGGCAGGTTGTCTGTCCAGCATGATCGAAGTGGTCTAAACAACAGACGAGTTTTCCGCACATAGGTAGCCAGGCTCGTCAGTTTTGTGCCGCGTTCGACTCAGCTTAAATAGCCAAATAAGCTGGAAACTGGTGTGTTCGAATTTACTCGTCACTCTGAGTGGAGTTAGACCTGGAACACTGCTGATGAGCTCAGTCACAAATGAGCAAAACAGCCTTTGCGTGTTAAGATCACTTCAGTCTAGCTGGCTAAGTGGCGAGCACTACTGGTTGATATATGTGTGTGTGCGTATGGCATTCAGCTATCCACCTCAATCAGAAGTATACGCTGTTATGCACAATATGCTTGCCATTTTGATTACTATTCAGGGTATCTAACAGATCAAATATTACACTGTGAATAATTTCAGTTTCTAAAAGTAATTATGGTGAAATTTCACGTCATTGAACTGTTTAGATATGAATTGAAAATTTGATCAACTAAACAATCAAGTTGCTTAGAAACCGACGAATAATCTGTATCTTTTTTACTAAGAATCCACTGCCTCTTCCAAGCAATCTACACATCATCACATGTATCTCGCTGAAACATCAGTTAACTTCAGAGAGGATTTTGCTGTCCATTTCAAATTCGATTCAGTCACTAACCGACTGTACAATGTAGAACCTATGAAGGCTGGGTTGATCTGGACAGCTGTTTCGTCCATATATGAGACTGTCTTGCAATCAAATTGTCACACGCTTACCAGGTAACTTTAGGATGGTGTATCTAACCTATTTTCCCGGTGTGAGTGTTTACCTGCAAACATTTCCGAACACTCATTCAGTGCGTCTTGTTATCTAGTATCAACTTTAGAAGAGTTCCACATTCCAAGTATAACAGTTAGTTCTAGTCTACCTGAATAAATCTATCTTTAGTGTGGTGTATTTATTCAATTAAAATAAATTTGAAAACAGGTGACTCAGCGGAGAAACTCTTTTCATCAAAGAATTAATGATCAATCCAGTGAGGGAATTAAAAGATGCATGTGAATACATGCAATAATAATATTAGTCATAATATGAAATGCATTTCAAATTCAAATTTTTGTTACGTCATAATCATCGTTCAGTGAGCATAGGCAAAACAATTAATGTCACAAATAGAAGAATTTATAGGTTATATGGAAGTGAGAAGGGGGTGAGATAATGGCATTAGTAGGCAAATAGAGTCAAAACAAAAGGGGTGATTAGTACTGCTAAATAGTCTCCCTGATATAAACGGAATAAGAAAGTGTTATTCAAAGTGAATATTCACATGAGAATTGGTCGAATCGACCAAGTCTCTAGGAATGGTGACACTCGAAATTCCAGGACTTTGTAGTCTTCCTTGTACATTAGTATTGTGAGTGTAGTGAATGCACTTCAGTTGTGCTGAATGCTACTATGGCGAGAGCTGCCAGCAAGCCAGTTCGCAGACAAAAAATTACGTCAATGTTTACGTCCAGAATCAGCGTCCTGGAGAAAAAAATAACAAAACCGAATTTTGTGCATGCAGAAAATGGATAACCTCAGAAGAATCATTTGTTTTTCAATCAATTTTGTTTTTTTTACACAAGTTTGTTTTTATTGCTTGATTCGTAATGGAAGTTGCATCACGAAGTGAAATAAATTGCGAACCAGTCGAAAAAAACTCGAGAATACTGGACAGCTGCTGTGTCATCCTAGTATTAGACTCAACAGAAGGACGCAGGTACCAAAGTGGTTTGCAGCTACAGCCTTGGTGTTACGAAGAACGCTTACTCGTAGACCATTCAACCAGTGATATCCGACTGAATGGCCGATGAATTCTAACTTTACGCCCTCACAGGGGATGCGAACTGCCGATAAGTACGAAGCTACGACGACACATCTATCCAGTAATCCACGTTAGTATTCAATGCATCTGTTCTCTCGTCAAATGAGTAGACCGAAATGTTCAGCCTCTTTCCAAGTGATCTAAAGTTTACATTTCGTTTCTAAATATCATCTCTGTTTAGTGATTAGGTATTTTCTCTAGTCAAGTTAAATCCAATTATAACTGAAATAATGGTTATCACACAAACATAGACAAACAGATTCAGTCGAATTCTGATTGGTTAGTGGAAGTAATCAATGAATGGAATAGTTTCATGTGTTAATGGTATAAATAGTCGACAAAATATTCTATCAGTATCAAGTTTTTTGGAGACTATCCAGTACACATTGCGGGTAAGTGAGTTCAAGTGGTATAAATATTCATATGATATACTATGTAATATGTAATTAAATTAAATTTTCACATTCTCGTTTTCAAGGTGTGTGTGTATGAATTTTGCGAGTCGAAACTTAGGTAATCTGTACATTCGCGTGGAACTGTAGAACTCGATGGGTCAAGTGGTACATGTGTTCGCTGGTAAATATCTTCGGAATTTGGAGCTCTGTCTGCTAATTGTGGGATACTTTTTGATAAGTCTGTTTCAAAATATTTCTTGACATCGTATCAAATTCATGAGAGTTTGTTTAATATATTTTGGTGGATTTGTCAAGTAGTGATACTCTTGAAACTTCACCACCGAATATATCTTCCACCTTCATGTATTCAGACAAGACAATTAAGAAATTCAGATATCTTGTCCATCTTGGGAAAACACGAGACAGAATGTAGGCCAGTTTTCTGCTGAATTAGATTCTCCGGTTCACAGTCTGCAATAGCCTCATCACACCTCCAAAATTTGGGTCCTCGACTGGCGAAATTCACATTCGAGTTTGTAGTAGTAGTAGTAGTGAGGCTATGGAATAAACGCACGCAGATATTTTGTGGGTAACAATGGAACTCTGTTTACTCAGCTGTTGTCTTTAGACTTCTGTTTAACTTCATAAGGAAATCATCTATCCCCTTGCGAGTGACAGCAGTAGAATGCTTCTCCAATGGTGTTCATTCATCGGTAGATAATCCATAAAAAATTTCTACTGCTGTGCAAGGCACTAAGTCGAGATTGAATGAAATCGATAAGTGGTTCCTTCTTCTGAAGATGTTCAACTCCACTCAGTACCAGATGTGATAAATTCTTCAAATCACTCAGTCGCCAAGTGGCTGGTAGGGACTTATGCAATAGTGAAGGGGAAGCTATTGAGATGAATTTCGTTGGATTTCTCGATTCAGACAAAAACGTCAGCCTGCAAGAAAAAAATATACATGTATATGTAAAATAGGCAATGACCTTTCAGCCTCACCTTTCCATCCGGGTAAATTTCAAGAATGAGTCAGTCCTTAATATTCAGAGAAGCTAATAATGTTGCGGACAGCTAGCGGCATTCACAAAGCACGTGAATAACATAGAATGTTTAGCCATAGCTCAAGTTTTTCACCAAACGCGTTTGGATGGAGTCAAGTTTCACCTCCTGGAAATGATATTTTTGTTTGTTATTAACATCATCGTTCCCTAAGCTCCCAAGTGTTGGTGAAGGTGCGCAGCTGACTGTTCGAAGTGCTATTCATGACTCAATGGCTCAGTTTCAGACCCAGGTATAAGGACCAACTGACTGACTGACTAACATTGGTGTTGAAAATGCTCATCTTAATCTTTATACTCAGGTGGAGTGGGGAAGATTTCTAAAAAGACTATCTAATTTTGTTATCCCCATCAAATTACATCAAAGTAAAGCTTCAGTTTGTTTTCCCTTTCTTCTACACTTTCAGTAACATGGTGTCTCAGAGCTCAAAACTAAACCTCATCATGATCGTCGGTCTGTGCATGGTCAATATTGTGAGGATTAAAGCAGATGACTACGTGCTCCCAATGTCACTTGGTCCAAATGGTAATTTATATTTATTCTGTGTGTGTAATTGACTGTAGTGAATGTGATATCCCTCTGACTAGGGATCGCGAAAAGTCGCTTCATGAAATTCATGATACTCCTCCCTGGTGACTGACTGACGTACTGAATGTCTGCAGGATGAAGTTGCCTGGAATTCTAGTGACAGTGAGAGCACATTTTCACAGATGATGAGATTGGATAGTGGTGGTGCTATATATTGCCGATTAGCAAACGTGACGTGAATTTCGTCACCTGGGACTTTTTTTCCTTTCCTCATGAGATAACAGGTTCATTTGGTGTGGTAGTTTGCCCAGTCAACAGCTATCTTCTAATGGCACGTGTCGCTTGATCCACTATGTATCCTTGTATTAGAAGTGAAAATAGCAGCAAGAAAAGACTACCTTCCATGCTTCCATCGATGAAATTCTTCAATGTGATGGAATAGTTTAGGGAAATGTAGTCTGCAAGAAGATAGCAATAGGCTGGACGAATAAGAATTCTGACTGTTGAATCTCTTCTCAGGACTGTTAACCTGAAGAGAAGAGTGACATTTTCACATGGCATCCTTTATTCATTTTGCATGATGTTTCGATATACAAGGGATAGTCATGGACTGACAGACTACTAACGACACAAAATGAGCGACGATTGCGAGCGGAACAGAATTCTGTATTGCTGCGTGATATGAATCAATGACTTGAAAATTCTCATTCGTGATCTCTATCAAACGAACTTTGAAACTGAACGAATCACTGGATCATTATTATTTTACTTCATTCATGAACTATATCTACATGTAGAGATTTCATACCGTTCCTTTAAACCATTATTATGTGTTTTTGTTCATTTTAAGGAGAAGTAAATGTCGATTTCAAAGGGATAAATTTCATTTTGGACTCTGAATATGGACTAACACTTGAAGATGGGGACTGTACATACCAGGTGAAATACGAAAACCCAACCGCAAAACAATCGAAAGGCAAAAGTGACCAGCGTTTTGGTTCAGTGTGAGTCTTTTTTAATATGTGAATTATGCGACATTTGAAGGTTTATGGCAAACGTTACATTTGAATCACTTGATAATGGTAATGTGAATTTGCTCACCGCATTTTCAAGAATACTACGTACATTTTTTCAAAGAACCTCTTCTTCCATATAAATATGAGGCCTCGTTGTGTCACTCTCGTCTTTACTGTACAGCATCACACTTGTGATATTATATGTGATGGCCAGTTTGTTTCCATTCTCATTAAACCGCATGGAGTTCACGCGAACAAATTTATACAATGTGAGACAGTAAAAATAATGATAATAATAATAGGAGCAGCAGCATTTGAATTAATTGAGATGTGTGTCTATACATTGACTCGCTCCTGCAAACCTAGTTATATTGGAAATAGTGCAACATACTGATTTGAATTGAGAGTGGCGCACGCCACTGCTAACGAGAACTGGTGTGCCTCGACACGCTGCACCTTCTCAATTTCTTCCGTATTCACCCAAGTCTAACTTCACTGGATTAGCTGATAATCAGACAATCAACGTCCCATTAGACTCAACATTGAATTTTTCTAATATGAATGGAATATTATCTGACACAGTTGACACAGTCTCACTCGAAATGGTCTAAAACCAAATCCATCTTGATGTCATTCAGTTCGTTGATGTCATTTTCAGATGTGAACAAAACACAGGTGGACTGAATGCTAAGTTGTTGACAGTATTCTGAAAAGGAGTGATCTCCGCTAACCTTTCTCTTAGAATCTCTGTTGGTCGTCTCATATCAAGTCATATCAAGTAGAACATTGAGGGCTGTATTAGGGTTGATGTTGTGCTACCTTTTACATAGCCGACTGACATAATTGTCAATATGCACATGAATTCTGGCGAGCGGTTGGCTCAACGTATCTCGTCTGACAACTGACATCCTCTCTTATCTACTTGCATTTTTCTCCTTAATCTATACAAGTGTGAGAGCAGAAGAAACTCCATAAGAAATTATGCTGGTGTGTGCAGGAAAATATAAAACCTCAACCACGAGATATTCAGCATGGTTTTCGTGTGAAAAGACAATTGTCAGAAATGAACTCGCGAATTTTCTGAATCAGCAGCTGAATTGCGAATTGCTATTCAGCTGGTTCTGTGACTGCCCACAGGCTCAACTCGTACACTCATGCACATAATAACCTCTAAGTCTACCACAGACAAGCAACTCATCGACAGCGAGTCGGACTGCTCTGGAATGGTGGCCTGATATGTGGTAACACTCAACGGTGTGCACTCTTCCGAAGATAGTGGTCTGGCGACAGTATTTTGGTTGTTACCTTTCGGGAATTTCTTCCGACTGAAATGACACTGAAACAGATTTAACAACTTCTGTGCAGGATAAGCACCACTTGTAAAGACAAAATACCTACCACAAATTACACAATTGATTTCGATTCGAGAAATATACCACTGTCTGTCATACATTCCATAATTATTCACAGTAGTTAAGAAAACTGATTCTGACGAGTATTCATTGCTTCATTTTCAACCTTTCCTCTCTTTATTACTATCTCTCCGTAAAGGAATTGTAACAGTTGGGAACAAAGAAGCCGTTAGAGTATCGATGAATTGTAAACAAACTTGGAGCTGCAGCAAAATCAGACTTCACACTCACTGTATAACTGAAAAGTAGTCTCCACTGTGCTTAGTCCAATGCTCTGCTCAGATATTAGTAAAATTAACACGCTCCATCTTCTGAATATTCTTGTTTGTCTTTCTGTAGATTAGATCTTCTCAAATAAATGAATTTTCAATATCACCTTTGTTATTTATGAAAAGCTTTTGTGTGTTGAGATAGTGAGTGAATGATTGATTTCACTGCGGAGTGCACCGTACTTGTTGCGTTTGCATTTGAAAAGAACAGACAATGAGATTATGGAATCGGTATAAAGCTGGTAGAACCCGACAAATTTATTGTATTGAGTTGCTGCATACACAGTTTTGGATGTGATAGGCGATTGCGTAATCTTCGTTCATGCACTCATTAAAAGGATGTAACATAGTTCATATGTAAAAAAGACAAGACTGAGGTGGATGAATGGAATGTTTATTTGGTGAGACGTATTGTACATAGGTAAATTTGGTATACCGTACTCTCAAACTGCCATTTGCACATCATTTACCACATCCTTGACGAAATAGTCGAATATCGTCTCATTCGATAGCTTCTTGGATTCTGCATCATATGGCAACATTCTTCTCATGGTTCTCTTCTTTGATTGCTCTTTCCAATGTGCCAAACATTGTTACTTCGTTTCTGATATACTACTTACATCGGATTATAAGTAGCACTCTCAACACATAGTATTGGCTCTTCTCGGAGGATTCATTTTCTTCTTCACACATGCATTCCTATTTACACACAATTATGTTAATCACGAAAAAGGGGTAGTAACAAAATTGATGGGCTGTCACAATCATACTTGTTCATATTAGTGGTCAATGCATGAGACGAGCTGATTAATTGTATTTGAGTAACATGCTGAGATGAATAATTGAGTGATTGAGTTGTGATCACATTGCACATAGAAGCGAGAGCAAATATGGAATGATGTTAGCATGAATTGTGAAGAATCACGAGAGTTAGAAAAACAAGCAAAGAGAAGAGAATGAGGTTGGTAGAAACAACAAGATTATTCCCATGGTTGTAGGATTGATCGAATAAATTCCTTTTTTATGCATAGCTCAGGTTTCGTCAACTGAATGGAGAATGTTTCTGTAGGGATAAACAAGCGGGAGTATACTGCCTTCGCTAGGTGAGTCTTCACTTTGTAGATTTCTGCTATTGTCATTGTGATAATCTCTTATGTGAAGGTTAAAATCACTTGGTGCAGGTGTAATTTGAACAGACACCCGTTTTGGAGTGATGTCTTAATCCACTGCTTCGGAACCCTCAAACAATCCTCATGCACACCTCACTGCTATAGCAATCATATTCAATATCCAATCGTACAACACACACAAACGGGCACTATTCAAAACAAAAGTCGTATTTGCAATAGATCCACTGCTTCGTCCAATAAGTCATCCAATATACCAGATGCATCTTGACGATGGCACAGTGGTTAGGACTCTCGCCGACCATGCACATGGTCCGCGGTTCGATCCCCTGCTGGCGCACACCCGATATATATGGTCGGCCTGAATTTGGGCTACTGATATCCATGCTGAAAGTTTCATACTTGTACTGAAAATATGGTGTGGAATCAAGCTGTAAGTCAAAAAAAAGAAATTAATAGTGGAATTTTCTGTTCATTTCAAGTTCAAAATTGAACCACTCAACACTAGGTTGGTCTGGATAGCTAATTTTAGTTCATCGGGATACACTAGAGAATTAATTCTTACAGTCTCACCAGATATTCTAAAGAGGGTGCGATCAACCTTTGATCTGGTTTCTGGTGTTTTCTATCGAAAACTCTCAAAACAATCATGCAGTGTGACATACTTCCTAATATCGATTAAATGGACATAATCATCTCATGCAAACCTTCTTCCAGTCATAACAATCGGTTCAAACCCACCTTAATACTGTTCACAGCGTATTTATTCACTTGAAATAAAACTCAAAGCAAGTGATTCAGCGGAGATGCTTTTCTCATTATCGAATTTATTATCAAGCTGTAGAGTCTTACATGATGTGGGTTCCAAGAAAATGTTTCCTGCGAGTGAATTCAATCATGCATGTGAACACAATAGATAATACCACTAATATTATGAGTTGCGATTCAAATTCAGGTGGTTGTGATGTCATAAGAATCGTTCAGTGTGAAGTGGCAAAACAATTCATGTCATATCTGGAACAATTCATGGGATGCATAGAATCTGAAGTGGGTGTGAGAATTCAGGATTAGTAGGCAAACATAATGAAAATCGGGACGTTGGGCGACATTTGATAAGGTAGAATTCGACACTATCAGGTTACGTATCACTTACACTCTCCTTCTAAAATTTGTTCAGTCTTGCATTTAACCTATTCCTCGTTCACCCCAGATTAGTTTTTCTAGCTATGATGAGGAACAAGTTAGTCATATTGGCAATGATACTAAGTGTTTCATGGAAGGCAAGTGCTGTGTTACCACCGCGTCACCTCATTACTGCTGTTATTGACAGGCACATGAACTCATGTGAGAAATGGCCTCAATAAATTTTGTGAGACTGCAAACACTTCACCCTAAAACTCTCTACTCACAACTCTCCCCATCTTGCACCTGATCAGATGAGACTGGAAGAAATTACAAACGATTGCACACTCACACACACTGAGTACGAAAACACGAATGATACCGCATTTGTTCCGCCAGTGTTCTATGCGACAGAGATGGAGCTAAGCATAGAACTTATAAGTTGATATTTAACTAGCGAAATCAGTGGCTCTTCAGTTCTCCTCTATTTTTAAATTATGCTGACACAGTTTCGATGAATTTATCACTATATTCATTATAATACAGTATTTTGTTGTTGTGAATGCGCGATTTCACTATACGCTCCACTTATCCACTCTTCCTTAAGCATCAATTAATGAAAGCAGTTTCTGCTTTCCAGAGACAAATTTGTTTCCCCGCACTCTCATGTAGTGTCATGTTTACACACTGTTGGAAACTCCTCGAAAGAAACTGTTCATTTTTCTGTGTGTTACATTCTATTTTTATCCACAAGTGAAGAAAGTGCAGTTGATTTTTGACTTCATATTCCATTGTGAACTGGCCGTGAGAATTTTGGGTTACTGAATGTCACCAAATACAGAAAATGTAGTATTTCCGCAAATCTGGAAGGGAACTTCGTTATGCAAATTGCAGATTCCAACGTAGTATTTTTCTAGATGGCACATGCAAATATCAATCAATATTTGAGGTAGAGGAACTCAAATGCATATTCCATCGATCTGTCGATACAACACGTTTTGGAAATTGAACTGACCATTCCAGCCAGTGACATTGGAATATCCTCTGTGTGCTATTTGTTGTTTTCTGAGTAGGACGTTTCGTAAATGGGAATCAGATTTCACAAGATGTCACAAGTTTGTTAACAATGCTTCTTCGAGGTAATTTCCTTACTCAAATCATGTGACACTGTCTAACTCTCCACTCTTCTTATACATTCATTTCTCGCCATTCCTTCAGTCCATCCGTGAAACCCTATTTAGTTTGTTGGAGAGTGACAACATGAATATCAACGCCTTGTTGTTAGGCGGCCTACACAAAGTTTAACTATGTTATTATCGATATCTTTGTTCGATTAATAGTCTTCGATATTTCAATGAGAACAAGCCTTTCAGAAGTTCATACTCTTCCACTCGTTCATCATACAGCGAAAATTCACTCGTGCGGAATTCAGGCCAACTACTGCTGTTGTCGTTACTTGTGTAAAATTTTCATTTCCGTCATTTTCAACGGTTGTTTTGTTTTTATTATTTTCTTTTTCTCAATCTCATCATCTTCTGGATAATGTTTTGCTCACCGGCTAACCAGCTACATTGAAGTCGTCATCTGCTTCCCTCATTTCGGAATTAGCTCATCAATCGCGAACCCGGTCTAAACACACTATAGGTGAATAGTTAATTCGAACACACGAGTTTCTAGCATATTGGGCTGTTTGATCTGATTCAAACCCAGCACAATTATGAGGAGGTCTAGTTAAAAGAAGTGAAACATTCGTCAGGTGATTATAACACGTTGTTCATGCTGACCAGTCAGACAGTCTGTCGGGCAGCCAACATCACTGGTAAACAACTACTCGTCTCAATAAAGAAGTAGTATGTCGCGTCACGGATTCATGGTTGACTTCACGATCCTACCTGTGCGTGATGGATATAATACCATGCATACAAGAGATAAAAACGATTCTGAGACACAGTGAATCACATCACTACCAATGAACTCCTTGAAGCATACGACAAGGTATGGAATTTCTCGATTCTTCAGAATTATTCAGCTGGTTATAAAATCCTTAAAATTCTTAACAGTTTTCCATCCATTGAGATGTTAACATGGTAGACTTGTACATGCACGCATAGATCTGATCACATTTCAACAGTCACTCTCATCAAATCACACACTATTACACAGTCAGTCGACTGATACTCAAAATTTGTCTTTTAGTGTTCTCAATAATGAACTGATAAATCTTCTTCCACAAAATCAAGCTCATTGTTGATTTTGACCTCTCAATGTTATCACATGAGTGAATCGGTTGCATGTGATGCAGAAATCAGCCACTGTCAAAGTGGACAGTGAGTGATAAAATGTTCTAGTTGATTAATCTGTCACATTTATTCCTCATGATGATGATGATGATGATGACACGTACATGGTGTGTTATTTTCTGACACGTTCGATTTGACATGCAGCCTTCTCCGTGAGAATATGCTTACTCAATGCAGTTGATTATCTCACTGATGGTGACTATCGATTTCAGCTTATAGCGATGATCACCAGTGTAAAAGAGGCAGTCAATTAGAAGTAGAAATTGAATTCCTATGCGACGGTATCGTGAAGGAGAGAGAGAGGAAATCGAGGCATCACCAAAATGGGAGATATATTCTAGGTGTTCGGTACATTGAAATATAGATGAATTTTACCATCTGCGAAGGAATGAGCTAGCTGTATGACACATGCTAAAGTCGAACTTTCAGTCGAAAATCCTCAAGCAATTTTGCATAAATGACTTATTACAACAACCGTTGACAGGAGATACAATTATGTCATTATTCTTACACGATTGACATAGCCTCACGTT